GTAACTCTTTCATCTCATACGCCTTTTTGTTGTGCCATCTCTGAAAGCATCCAGTTCAAAGTGGTAAACGCTTGCAGATGGTTGAGGTGTCAGTTAGGCAAGCAGTCAAACAGTCACACAGCGCTGGTGTGACCGGAGCTGCAAAAGACCCATCTGTTCCTCAGCGCTAATAAACGGAGCATAGTGGTTTTCCAGGCTAATAAACACAGGAGAAACTAAAATATGCAGGTGACAAGTGAGAGTACATTCTCCTCTTTTACTATAAAAAAATGGATGGTATGTCATACAGATGAGTTCATTTAAAAACTTCACACGTCACTAAATGCAATACACAGTGCATGGAGAAACATTTAATTATATCAATGGAATTCCTCACTATGGTTAGGTTTCTAGTGTTTTTTAATAACTAAAACTCAAAATCATAGCCTTCCTGTAGCTGTGATGGTGATTCAAAAAAGCAGCAATGGATCAACAACATGACTGAAACATTACAAGACTCTAGCTGAGTCAAGGAAAAAAAAAACATTCTGTGAATATTAGCGCTGCTCTTTCCCTAGACATCGTCATAACAGAGCTGTCTGACCTACATTTCATTATGACTTTTTTTTTGATAGAAAAACTTAATTATTTTTAGGTCAGCTTCTATGAAAGGAAAATAGAATTTAATTCATGCGTCATTAAACTGAACCCAACTGAGAAGCTGGGATCAGCATCACATATCACACATAAGTTGCCTCGGTTGTGGATATTTGTATGCAGTGAGCCATAATGGCTGTTTCAGACAGCTCGTTTACTGTGTTTACTTTTGGTCAGACTCAAAATGATTTATGTAAAAACCATGTTTATTTTGAAAGCTGTACAAAGATCGCACCTCTTACTTGTGGAGCATTTGGAGTAATACAGGTGCATCTCAAAAAATTTCAATATCATGGAAAAGTGCATTGTTAGCACCAGAACCAGAGATTAAAGGCTCAGAAAAACTAGGTGTTTTGCAAATTCTTCATTCTAAAATTCAAATAGTTTTGAGATACTGGAGTTTTGATTTCCATGAGCTGTAAGCCGTAATCATCAAGATTAAAACCAAAAAAGTCTTGGCGTATTTCACTTTCTGTGTAATGAATCTAGAATATATGAAAGTTTGAATAAAGATTACAGAAGAAAATGACATGCTTTGTCATAGACACATCTGAGAAAGAAGGAAGGGAGCGTTTTCAAACATAAACAGGTGTTAAGTTGCTCCATTTGCTAGGAACAGGTGAGCCATGGCCATGATCATCCTCTAAACAGCTTGGCTTTTACCATGCGCCACCTTCTAATGAGCCTTGCTTCTTTGCTTTATCTCTTGAGCCAGTTGTCTCATCTCGTCCTTGTCCTGTGGCTTCACAATGGCAGCATGGCCTTTAGCTATTGAAAAGGCATCCTTGTTCTCACTCAGAGCCTGCTTTTTAAGCAGCGGCAGACGCCCCTCCTCTCTCCCCTAGTTCCAGCCTTTGAGGCAAATGTCAGCTAATTAAGGCTTACATGGTCGACCTTTCTCACCCCCACCTGAGCCCACGCCATTCGATCTGCCAAAGCACCCAAGAGCTGAGCTCCATGCAACAGGTTGTCTCCGTGAGTGTGCCACAGAAATGCCCATATGCGCACACACAGGCGCACACAAAATACAGGTCAGCATGGTCTTTGATATGATAAATACTGCTGGGTTCCTACAGGGCAGTTGACTCAATTAGAGGAGACACTCGCTGACTAACACTGAGGATGCACAGTGCATTGGCTGCCAGCAGAGACTGCCACAAAGATGGTGTGTGTGTGTATTACAGTGTGCTACAGTCTCCATACTATTATGGTTCGAATGTCCTCTTGAATGTCCCATTGTCCTTTTGCTGCTTCTACTGTCACAGGAGTCATTCATGTGAACTCACTGAATGAAATCCCCTGCTAACTTGACTGCAAATCAAATCATTAAAAACAAACACTTGTGAATGTTTAGGAATAGCATGTTGACTTCACCATCCGTGAAAATGCATACACAATAGGTACTTCTCAAATGTCTTCATTCTATAATGTTGGTCAATTCCAGGGATGTGGTAATTGTTGCATTTCAAGAACAAATGCAACATTTGAGAAGGGCGCTGAGTATTGAATATCATCTTTCCAGTTTAAGCATTTTGAGAGCTATGGGGATACGTTCCAGAGACGAGAGAGTAGAGAGAAGCAGAGGACTCACTGTGCCCTTCCACTCTTTAAATCTGCAGCTACACAGGGGAAATGGGCATGAAAAAACATGTCTTAGGAGAGGAAGGTAATTATCACAATCTGACGCTGTCCAACACTTTAAGTGTGCGTTGTTGTGCATGACATGTGTTTGTGTCACGGGGCAGTGGTGGGAACCAAAAAGGTTAAACGCAAAAAATAAAATATTCGGGAATAGTCTGATGGGCACATACAACGTCAGGATAGGACAGAAAAAGACAGTTGACAGTGTCAAGGACAGATAAAGATCAGTGAAAATGAGAAGAATAGTGTTGCTTTTAAATAGAATAAATGGCCAGGAGGGACGTCATTCAGGACTGAGCTCTTTGATGTGGCTGGCTGTCAGTCAGGAACCTTGGTATTGTAACTGGTGCCTTTATGCCACTGTGAATCAATTTGGGAATCCACAGTCTGTGTTGCTCTGAAATCTGTTGGTAAAATGTATTCTTCTCTCTACTACTTCACTTTATATGGCTCCAGTACATTGAAGAATATTCAATGGTGGTGCATTCATTTAACAAGAATAAAGGGTGATTTGGAAAGGAGAGCATTTATCAACAAATGTACAGAATGAAATCAGAACAACAAAAAAACACAAGTAGGTAAAATGATAAATGTCACTCTTGTCAGCAAAAATATAGTGCATTAAAAACATAGTGTGTTGGCTAAAACTGACGTTGATCAGCTAAGTGTCAGTAAAGGAACTCTTTTCTATGGAAAAAGGAAAGCAAATCAATGACATTTCTTTCAAAGCATAAAATTGCAAGAACGGGAGCATACACAGCCAGTATTCACTGTACCCAACAATACGTAAGTATAACTTTTCCTGTGTAGTGTTTTATGTAATTTATTTTCCTCATAATCTCTGTATAGTAGCTTAACACCAGATCCAATACATCTTTTAGTGTAACAGGTAGCTTTCTGTTTCCAAGAACAGATTTGGTTACCAGAACAATTTGGAGTAACTGTGTTGCTTCTGGATGTGATTTGGATTTATGTGGTGTCAAAGAAAAGTGTAAACAATAAGTGCAGAAAAACAAACATCTGCTTGTTGAAAAATGGGAGGAAAAACTGAAAAAAAAAAAGAACTAAAGGATCATGAGAAATGAGCAGAAGCAGTGACTTTAATAAGAGCCTCATTCTACACCTGTTCCTCTTCTCAGGTGTCTCAGCTACTCCCACAGCTTAACCTGCTGTGCCTTCTTCCCCTTCAAAAGTATTAGATAGCCATTTTTTTCACACTCCTGGTTCACAGTGGTGCAACAGAGTGCCATTTTAAAGTTTCAATATGCATTACTATATGTCCATTTTTATCATTCACTGACGCAAAATGATTCAACACAATAGTGAGTCAGCCTACTGTATATTCCCCTAGCTTTTACATTTGGTGACCTGTGCACGCAGTTGTAGGGTATTTCTCTGGCACACAGGAAGTGTTTTGTTTTAAGACGTCAGCAGCAGAAGAAGTGGTTTGTTCAGAAGAACTGGGTAATTAATATGAGCAATGCAACCTCCCTGGCAGGACAGACAAAGAGGAGAGGGCCACCTACGAAACTCAAACGTCATCATCAGTAAACAAGACAGCAGAGTACCACCCACACTGTTTTATTTACAGGTAAACTGTGGGAAGTGCAGTGCTGAAAAGCGAAAGCCGTGTGTACTTATTACTAAAGATGTTGCAACAAACCAAAATCAAGGACCTTGAAGATAACTATTTTAAAGCACATTTTTAACAGTGTATCTCATGGAACCAAATGTGTGATGATGTGACGAGGCTGGTGGTGACTAAAGTTAAGTGATGTCCACTGATCTGATTTCGAAACATTTTGGTACTGTGTTAAATAATTCCTCTGACTAGTCCAATGGGTTCACTATTATTGAAAGTCAAAAGTTATATCCTTGTCTAATTTGAATATAATAGCTTGACACAGGATGCATGACATTCCAACAAGGTCTCATACCAAACTAACCAGGTTGTTTGTCACTTCATTCAAAGTGTTAATAAACAGCTTCTGTGTGTTTTATGATCTGTCTCCCCTTTGATGAAGTCATGCTTAAGTGAAGGCAATTAAAACATTGCATCTCCTACCTCTAACTAATGGAGCTGCAAAGCCTGGTCTCCAGTGTCAAAGTCACACTGTTGGTTGGTTGTTCAACAAATAACCAATCTTATGGTTTCACGCCCACAGACACAGCATTGTGATGTAGCCTCATACTAAACAGTATAATCTGTTTTGAGTCATAAGTAAATGTTGACTTTTGCGTACCTTTTAAGCAGAAAGATTTTTAAAAGCAGTGATTTAGAGTTATAGTGAACAAAAGAGAGCAGTGTGGAAGCCAGTGTTGACCAGCTGTCCATTATCGTTGTGGTACTTGGTACAAACTCACACAGTTATATCCACACACACACCCCAAACAACACTGGGCTGCTTAGCAAGGCTTAAGCTTGATACATATCAAGAATACTCAGGTGTTTAAGGTAATAACAAATTATACTAAACTGGCATTTTTGTTTTCATACTTTGCATATTTGATTTAAGTATTACTAAAGACTCTGTCTCTCTACATTGGGCCAGATCTGCAAATCCCACGATTGCTTGTTCTCAAACAACGCTGCAAATTTGAAATTTAAATATTTGCACAGAAATTACATGCAAATACAATCTGATCCTGATTATACTCACTGCACATAAAGACATTAAACTCATACTAATCCCCCTGAACTGTGTTTGTGTTTTCCCTTCCAGAGACATCAAACCTGACAACATACTACTGGATGAACATGGTAAGATCCCTTCTCTAATTCTATTTTATTAATTCATATGGATGTGAGGGGATGGAGTACAGAAACTGTACAATAAGATTTAATTAGGTTTTGTAGTTCTTTACATATGGTTATAACTTGACTCACACGGCTAGTTAACTGCTTCTGACTAAGGATTTTACCAAACCTCCAACTTCTGGGATGACTGCTGCACAGATCAAAGTTGAAAGGCTGGTTTCACAGCCGTTGCCTACATAGGCCTTGCATCATACAGGAGGAAAATACAACTTACTTTAACAAATGCAACATAGAGAAGGATTGCACAAGTGCATTTTTATTTTCAGGTGAAGCACTGTGACATTTACATGGTGCTTTTCCTTTCTGAATGATGGGATGAAATAAGATGGAGTGATGTGATAAAAGTGTGGAGGACAGGCAGTTATTCATCTTGCGTCCTCTCTGCTGTGAGGGGAAATCCTGTTCTGAATGATTGATTAAGTCTCATCATAGGCTTTATTGTCAGTTTCAGTTTCACACAGATAGACATACACACGTGCACGCGCATACAATGACAAAAGAGACAGAGAGAGCAGTGTGTCTGTCAGGGGGAGGGGAACTACTGTAAATGAAGGCTACGTAAAGAGAGACTGTAAATTTCTTCAATATGTTAATCAAGAGGAATAATAACATGCTTCTTGTTATTATCCATCCTAGAGGAACACAGACATCCTAAGATGGGATGTTACAGCATGCACGTGTACACTGCATGGCCAAAGTATTACAACATTATGAACATTACACCTTTAGGAAAAAAGCATGTGGTAATATGCTGCAGGGACTTGCTCCCATTCAACAACAAGCGTGAGTGAAGTCGGCCAGGTGATGAGGCCTGGCTCGCAGTCGGCGTTCCGGATCATCCCAAAGGCGTTGGATGAGGTTGAGGTCAGGGCTCTGTGCAAGCCACTGAACTGGGAAAGCAATTTCTTTATGGACCTGGCTTTATGCATGGGAGTAATGTCATGTTGAACAAGATATTGTTTCAGTCACGTGTGGCATATGGCTTTGCTAACTATATTAGCCCGAGACTAAAAGTGTATATTTTTGGTATACAGACAAAAACACACACACACAAGTCCTGAGATCTCAGAGGGCACTGGGCAGCTGCTTAGGGGACCTGAGGAGATATGTGGGATGGCAGCCCTGCTGTCGCTACAAACTAGAAGCAGACAAAGAAAGACAGAGAGAGAGAGAGACAGGGGAGGGCGAGAGAGAGAGAGAGAGAGAGAGAAACTAAAAAAAATTGTGAGACAAACGGGAAAAGCCACAAGGACAAGACAAGAAGGACGAAAGTGATGAGCAAACATTTCTGGAAAGAAAGATTTGTCAGAAGAAGAAAAACAGGGTAGGCAGAGAGAGACGGAGATATGGGAAGAAAAGAGATAAAGAGGGAGGAGAAAGGAGACAGCTTTGTCAACCTCAGCCTGATTTCCAAAGCATAACAAACACTCTCACTGTACTGAATGTGTATGTGTCCTTTTAAACTTACTTCTCTCCTCCTCATGCATCCTACCCACACTCTGTTGTTCTCTGGTGACCTGTAGTTTACATCACCACTAAAGTCTAAAACAACATGACGTATCAGAAGGGGGGGGACAGGGTGTTTGCTTCTGCACACCAGGTCATTTTTGAAAGCTGCAATTGACCCCTTCCTCCTTTGTTCCTCTGGGAGCTGCCTAGAGAAAAACTATTTAGTCATGCACATGCGATGCCACTTTGTTGTAACTGCGTAGCCCCGTGATGCTGAGAGAAGCTCCAAGAGGACCGTTGTCTAGGTTATCCACTGTGAGAACACACACATGCTACTAAAGCAGGCATGTTGTGAGGGAAACCACAGCTTCCCGCACCTCTCCCAAAGAAGCTCCGGGGCATATGTTTGCTCGAGGATGGCAGGTCGGGGGAGTTGAAGGAAAGAACATGGCCTGAGAGAATAGAGCAGGGGCTCGGACAGGGACAGAAAGAGAGGGTAATGCATAGGACTGAGGAGGAGGCTGCGGGAAGGGACTGAGAGGCAAACTGTGACAGTTGCTCTATTAAATTACATTTGGTGGTAGCTATCAGTACAGTATGCAGATCTCGTGTCTACCTTCTGCCTAAGTAGGCAGTTAGACCAAAAGCAGTCCTGCATTACAAAATTGCAAGGGGCTGTGTTGCTGAGGGCATGATGCATCAGGTCCCAGTGAGACAATTCAAAATGATCTGGCAGCTTGAGTGAAAGATCTTTAAGTCTCAAGTCCTATCAGACACCAAAACACTGCGCAGTGGTTTATTATATTACAAGGATTTTTCCTTGTACTTCTGGACAATTCCCTGCTGCAATAATTGTATCTTTGCTACAAAAATGGAAAGGTAAATATATGGGGTTCATACTACAATGCATTTGATTGGACAACACAGACCTTACTGTGTGATGTTTAATTTGCTGATGCAAGCAAACATTAAGCCAGGTTGAACTATACTGTATTATTTGCTGGGGCCCCCTGCACTGGCACCCCTGGTGCGTTAACGCAGAAAAGTAGACACATGCCAGTGGGTTAAAACATTTAGAACTAACTGCATAGACTGATAAATGCATTGATATGGATTTGAGGGTATGTAGGGACTCTGACTTGGTAAAAGGCTTTGGAGTTATAGTATATTATATACAGTATATAGTATAGAGAGTTTCAAGTGCTGATCTTTGACTGTGCCAGTGTTGTGTGAGTTGTGTTGCATAAAGCAAATATGAATAAATAAGTTCATGTAGAAGTGTACTTAAAATAGGCCACAAAATAGATCCAGGATGGCACCTTTACTAAACTCATTTGTGTATGTACAGTATGTGTCACGTAGTTGTCATTAGTGGCGGGGGTGTTTTGTAGTAACGGTAAGCAAAGAGACATTAAAAATAGAAGAGCTATGCAGCAGCATGATATAACCCAAGGGTCAAACCCCGACAGTTGTGGAGGTAATCCCAGTTGAACATGTTAGATAACTAAGCCACCAGGAAACCTGCTAAACCATTGTTCAGCGACCACACATTGCAACCCTCGCAGGCAGGGAACAGTTTGACTGGACACAAAAACGGGTTTATCTCACATACTGATTTTAGTTTTAAAAGCAAGAGATTTTACTTAATTTAAGGGAACCACTCTGAACTACATATTTTATTTTAACAAATTCAAATTTGATGTGTATTCTCTTCATTTAGTGCACACGCATGATCAGAGTGAGTCAAGTGGCCATCTCATAAATAGTGCAATAGCATCAAATGCAACAAGGAAATTTAATTAAGGAATAAAAAATAATATGAAAAGTATTGCAAGAGTAAAAAAAAAATATTTCTCTTAAAAATATATATTTTTTTACACCACAACGTGCCAAAATGCTAAACAATAATAGGAACAGGGCATGAAAAAAATGACTGAACGACCTGAAAATTAAAACCCCGGCCTTTCTGTGTGGAGTTTGCATGTTCTCCCCGCGTCTGCGTGGGTTCTCTCCGGGTGCTCCGGCTTCCTCCCACTGCCCAAAGACATGTGGCCTAGGATGATTGGTGACCCTAATCACAAATCAGCCACAAAGGCTGATAAGCTTCCTCACTGTCTCTGCAACAAGCAGACTCCTGCTACTCTACAGTCGGCAATGTTACAGTATATTAGTATGTTACTAAAATAAAAGCACTATGCCCCGAATAAGCTACTTTTTTTCTCTCTCTCTCAGGGATCCACTTTGGATTAACTTTCACAGACGCCACTCTGGTGACAGAGTTCTGTTACCCAAATGCAACCCACTGTACATTTTCCATAATACAGATTTGGAAACTGTGCCATGGTTCATCTCTTAATCTCTCTTTGACTGACTGTTCACCACCATATCTGCCCTACCACTGAAAAAACTAAAGCCTCTACTATTGCACACCACAGACTTTGGTGCTCTATAGAGCGTTAAAGGTAGAGAGATGATGTCAGAAAAGAAAAAAAGGGGGAGATGAGCATGTGACAGAGACAGGAGGTATCATTAAATATGAAAACACAAAAGAAGCACTACTCTTACTCAAGCTCCAGTTAATGTTTAAACGGACATTTCAGTCCAGCTGTGCCTTTTGTCACAGACATCAGACTGCATTAACAACCCTTTAATATCGGTAAAGCATCACCTGATATCCTCCCTGTGCATCCCAACACATCTACACTCATACCATCACAGCTTTGAAAACAGTGTGTGAGTATAAAAGTAGCAGGAAAAAAAACATAGAAGAGGAAGATATGGGAGGCAAAATGGAGAAGAGGGTGGAATAGAAAGGTACAAAAAAACAAAAGGTGTGATAATGCAGAGTGACAAAAAAATGATGGAGGTAGAAAACAGGGTGTGAAAAAGAGGACGATATTTTTTGTGTACTTCTGTTATCACTAAGGCTCAGTGTCCTTGTGTAAAGAAACACTTTAACTGGCCAGCTCCTCCTGTCTGCTTTATATTCACACACAGTTATCTGTTTGTGTGTGTAATAAAGAATTCTGCCTTTAAAAATCAAAACCAAAACAGAATGTGTATGGCAATGCAGCTTTTGTCTCTGGTCTTACTGTACGTGTGTTTGTGGGGTTACTGAGGACAGCCGTTCATGCGAACAATCACTCTGCGGCAAAAACTCTCCTGCTCCGCCTTGCTCTCTCTCTCAATATGAGAAACACACACACACACACACACACACACACACACATACATATTCAACTCATTAGTGGGTGCTCACAGTGCATGGCAAAGTCACAGGTCAATGGTTTGACTTTGAAATAACTGAGGCTGCCAGCAAAATACTCTGGACAGTCTCAGCTCATTCACAATATCATGACACACATTTTACTCCATCAACAAAGCCGCAGTTAATTTGCATATAATGCCTTTTTCATAATATTAGTGTAAGAGCATTACGATCGTAAGTATGCATAAAGGAAAAGGCATCATTTCAATGTATTATGTTGTACATTAAAATTCCTTTGATTCTCGTTTCTGCACATCTAACACTCACATAAGCAGCATACAAAGTAGGATACCTGCTATGTGTAAGCTGTGGTTAAATTTAATTCCAAAAGAAAAAGCTTAAACTTTAAAGGGGAAACACAGTTACTGTAGACAATGACTCTCTGCGATTGTACAGCTCTGTGCCACCTTAGGATTTATAGGATTCACACAAGTGATATACTGTAAATGTGTATTAGAAACATTGTGTGTGTCACTTTGAGGTAATATAATCTCTCTTTTCTACAGGGCACGTCCATCTAACAGACTTCAACATTGCAGCCATTGTAAAAGAAGACCTAAAAGCAACGTCCATTGCTGGAACGAAGCCGTACATGGGTAAGAAACTACATCACTGACCAAGGATTCACAAGGAAACTTTAACACTGGGGACATCAAACTAAAGCTAGAGGAATCAGTTAGAAACCATGATCTTTACTTTACATAAATCATAGAACATAACTTATATAAATTCCACAAAGCATGCTTATGTTTGCTAATCCATTTTCCCAAGGATACCAAAGGGATGTTAGAGACTAACGTTGGTGAGCCCAGCTTTCACTGGAGGAAGCATCCGCCCTTTTCTGTTTAGAAGGCAGTTTGTCTCTCTACATTCTTGTTGATTCATCACTTGATGTGAGAAGACAAGTGCCAACACCCAGCACATAGAACGAATAGAGAAAACCTCCTCACTCTGAGATTCAGGCTGTAATTCTTACATGTCCTACATGTCTAGAGTAGGTTTCAAAAACTCAATGAATCATATTATTATATTATTGATGAGGGAATGAATTATATGGATTGAGGAACACATGCTCTTGTGCAGTGCAACAATTGAGCATAAAATATGTCGCCCCCTTAAGCCCGTAAAGCCAAGTTCACTGAGTTTGGCTTTGGTCAACATTAGCTGTGACATGAACAAGATGCAGCTAAAACTAAGTGGCGGCTATTTATAAATAAACTTAAGCCCTTTGTTTAATTATACAGAATTAAGGTGGAAATATTATGGAGCTTAATGCATAAATTCTGTTTAGGAAGCATTTGAAGTTACAAATACTACATCTGATAAACATAATATGGAGGCGCATTCCCTCATTGTGTGTCTTCTTTGTGTCCAAATAAAAAAGTATATGTAGTATATTCTTTAGGCTTATTTGCTTGATTTTGATGCATTTGAAACCTGAGTAGTGTTTAACATTTTAAAGAACGTAATACTGCCTTTAGAAACGTACATTTATCCTTTTCACCACCACTGCAGTCGTCCTCCTCATGACTCTTAAGTACAGTAGTGATCAGGTCAATGTGTATTCAGCTTCTGAGAGATCAGATAGTAACAACAGTAGTAACAGGATTTCAAGGGGAGCACAACGTTTGTGTGTGGAAATGAGTGTGTGTATGTGTGTGTTTTTATCCTTGCGTGCTCACGAAGGAGAATGATCTTGTAACCATGTGTGACTAGAGTTCAGGTGAATACTCTGTGGTGTAATAGATTATTCAGGGGTACTCTGGAAAGAAGAACCCCCCTCCCCTCTTTCAGAGACTTCACTAGATGAGCTACACTTTTTCCCCCTCCGCAAGAGAGCAGAGCAAACTGGAGAGGAGGGTGTCTGTGTGTGTGAGTACAGCTGAACGATTATTCACTTTCACAGAAGGGGGAAACAAGCAAATAACCAAATTAATGGTTTTGATAGCTTGTCCCACCCAGAAAACATGTTATTGTATAATTATTGCAAAGACATTATAACGCTAAATTGGCTCTAAAATCCCAATAATAAAAATTTGCCTTTGGCAAAAAGAATGGAATTTATGTTTTTTTCATTCCAGACCAACAACAAAAACTCAATAGTTACATGTAAAAACTGGGCGGTAATGGCTCAAGCTCTTCTTTAACGCCTGCTGTCAGTTTCTTGCAGTTCAGAAGTACTTACATGTATAAACAACTTTTACAGGAGGGCTGCACAATTAATCAAAATATATCAAAATGTCCCTAAAAACAAGAAAGAGGGATCAAAATACACAAGCTATAGCCCGACATATATGGGATTTTAAAGACAGATACCAAATTTGATATTTGAGGATATTAAAATCCGATATACTCCAATATATTGCCAATAAATTTTTTTTTCTTCAGAAACACATAACATAAATAAATTATCTCTAACATTTGTAATGTGTAGTCATGAGACACCAAGATAACATCACATAATTCAGTTTAAAAAAAAACTTTTTTAATTGTTATATATAGTACTTTGAACAAAAGTACAGCTGATTATTTCAGCTGATTGCTGTGTCTTGTGGTGGGTTTTTGGCTTCCAATCATGTGTGTTGCCAACAGGGGTGCCCTCTGATGGACAAACTATGCAACGATAACACTAACATAACTTGATTGAAGGTTATGTCTTCCATCTATTCTTTTCTTTTTTAATTGTCATTCGTCGAATGTTTGAAACCTTGATAGCAATTTATTTGCAGTTACCTTGTATCGGCCTCTGGGCTCTAACACAAACACCAAAAAAGTTCAACTACTAGGAAAGGTATGTGTCTTCACACACCACACTTATTTAATTTTGTTGTACAATATCTTTCTTTTTATCAGCTCCTGAGCTTTTTCAGACCTTCGAGGGGTCCCACCCTGGCTACTCCTTCTCTGTCGACTGGTGGTCACTGGGCATCACAGCATATGAGCTACTGAGAGGACAGGTAACTCAGACACACATGGAGTACCATCACCACATGCTCACATCTCAACTCACGTCAGCATGGCCTGCACACTTTACTGCAGTGAATAATACATATGACATCTATAAGCGTGTGCTGGAAAAGTCCTGTCAGAAGAAAAGCAGACATAAAGCAAGTCCTCAGGCTTCGCAAAACAAATGGGGGAGTGAAGCTATAATTGAATTTTACATTCAAACTGCCCGTACCGGGGAATATGTTTAAATGTTTAGTCACGGTGTGAGACGAATCGCTGCAGGAGAATGAGAAAATAGAATCTGAGTTATTTCAAGAGCCATGTAATTGGAATTGATTTTTTTAAATATTATTTATTTAATTTTGTCCTGGTCCCATCTGGAGAAGTTTAATTCTGATGTCATGGAAATAAACACAAGATATAATGTTTTCACTCCATCTCCTTGCCGTATCTGGCCGAGTCCAGGATCCAACAGCAGTCTGTTCATTTTGGACTCAGCTCAGACTGCAGCTGCAGAATTTCCTCTCATATTTCAGGACGATGATAACACAAACTACAGTAACCTCTGTATACACTGACCCAGAACACCTGAAACTGATCCGGAGCTGTCATGAAGTGTTTCTTGAAATCAATTTCTCTTTTTAGACATGTCATTGCTCTCCCTCTCACCTTTCTCACTAACACTATGGAAAGGTACACTACATAAGAACTTGCATTCTGTCCACTTTCTGACCTCAGAGTTGCATCTTACTCCCACTAAAACATCTCCCTCAAGCTTCAACCTCAAAACCTTGCTTTAACCCTTCTAAAGTATGTTTTGTCCTCTCTCTTTCCTCAAAGCTGTGTCCTGTGATTTTAAAGTACTTTTAACCTCCACTCATTCAGAAAACGATTGCAGAGCACACACTTACACGCCTTCACACCCAGAAATTACTCAGAATGACAAAGTTTTGGGATGTTGTTTAATCTGCGACATACAAGTAAAACCATCTCCTAAACTTTCTTTCACTCCTCTCTCTATACACCACCCTCACCACCTCTCAGACAACTTCATAACTCTGTCTTCTAAGGACTTTCTTCTACTTCTTTCTCTGACTGGCACCTATATCTATACAGCATAAACCTGTATCAGGATTTTAAAAACTGGCCTGTTGGATGTGCAGACTAATTTGGCTGTTGAAAATGGAAAGCTTAGTATTATCCAGACCCGGTCTTCCCTGTTGGGCCTGATCACTTGTTGCAGGTAGAGATCCAGGCAGCTCAGCATCTCAGAACCACAAATCAAATCCCTGTCACTTAATTTCTCCACCTCCGGCCTTTGTTTTGTTTCTAAATTAAACAACTCTTCTCAAACCCTAGAATGGGAACCTGGAGACCTCATGGTTAATCTCCAAAAGAATGCAGATATATTGTAATACATGAGCCAATTCCTGCTTTCTGAACATCTGACTCCAAAAGAATATATTAATGGTTATCTGACACCTTATGTGTGCCTTGTATGGTGCAGAATTGGAATATAATGGATATCAGCATCTAAAAGAGCCTGTTATAAAAAGGAGGCATCTGACCGGGTAGCACGTCACTCCCATTTCTCTTTCATCTTTCCTGTTTCTCTTCACCCATTTATATATTTGCTCTTCTGTAAAGAACCAATCTAGGAGAAAAGGGAACAGGTGAGATTGTCCATCTCCAACCAGCCTGTTCTAGCTGTGTCTTGTTATGGTCCCATTCTTCGGCTTAAGTGAAAGAAGTCTCTCTGTCCCAGACGAAGTCCAGAGGGTGGAGGACTGGCGAGAAGAACTCTCAGCAGGCTTTCCCTTGTTTTCTGACCCACAGAGAGCCCTCTCACACTGAAGGGCCAAGAGTTTAGGTTGTGTTTTGAGAATAGTCCCTTATCCTTTCTTCCCTCTGTCATTTGTCCCTGTGAGTGCAGGAAATGGGTTCACAGAAGGTGAGCACAAGGAGAAGAGGAAGAGAGAGAATAGAGGGCCAACTGTGGAATGAACTTTAAGGCACATACTTTATCAGAGAAACTCCTCCAGGCAGTGCATGACTATGAATAACAAGTTGTCTGTGACATATTGTCTCCTCTCCTCTTTTCAGAGACCATATGTGATGAGATCCAGTACACCAGCTAATGAGATCCTTCAGACCTTCCACAAGGTCCATCCTAGCTACCCAGCAGCCTGGTCTTTGGAGATGAAGTCTCTTCTCAGAAAGGTAAAGGAGTGGCACCTGCATAATGCACAGAGGTACAAAGGGTATGTATTAATCTCAGCTTTTCACGTGATACTACCCTCCTCACCACAGCTCTGTTACAAGACATACCAACTGGTGGCTACAAAAATATAGGTAACTGAACTACTTCAATTAATAGCCCGGGCATTTATTTGCTTTAATCACTAAACTCATCCCAGCCTATATTTGGGACAGATGTCTATAGGGAACAGGCCTTTAATTCCTCTCCCACAAAACTCTTGCTCAGCAAAGATTGGAAACAGGCAATGAAATTGTTTATTTAAACCAAAAAAAAAAAAAAATCGATGAAAGTCAAAGAGAGACAACACATCTAGGCCAACCCCATGCACAGAAAGAGAGAGAGCGAGCCCCGTATCAAAATAACTCTAGCCTTGGATGAAAGCCAAAGGTTACTATCGTTGACCTTGGATTTATTTTTATGAAAAACAAGGAATGGACCTATATTCAGACTTTATAACCGCCTCAAAGGTAAGGGAGTCACCACTATTTATTGCCTCTCTTGTTTACGATATCTTGCCAGTAAATCTGAATGAATTATACTTTGGTGCTCATGGTTTCCGTAAAATGGACTGAACGATTGAATTGTGGAGAACCTAACTGATCTAACATTGTGTAGCATGTCCATAGTGACATTCGTTTTATGCATATAACATTTTTATTTGTGTGTGTGATCTAAGTAGCTTATAACCCGAACCCGGTAGGCTTTAAGAAGAACGTCCGCAGAACGTCTATAAAACAGACTGAAGTGTGGCCACATCAGTGAACTCACAATGGCAGATGCTGACTGTTTCTTATATGCTACTCCTGTTTAACAAGCATCTTCAGTGTACAGTGACATTACATGCACTCCATTGAATAGCGGCATTTACCAGTGCTCAGGACCTGAAGTAACGGTTCCCTGTGTAGTGTAAGTGTGCTAAACCTCTCTTGAATGTTGGTGGGTGAGTGTGGCACATTGTACAAAAGGTGTTTCTTTGAATTAGGTCTACAACACCTCCAGAATGTACTGTGGTCCTATATTTAAACCTGCACAAAGCTGAACTCCAGTACCACAGTACTTCCATGTAAAATGCATACCTTGACCAGTTTGAAAGTTGTAATGTTGGAGGAGGAGGCAATGATTTAATGTTGGTGAGACTAGCTTTTTTACGGGCAGCCCAATTGCTACTTTGAAGGAGATAGTTTTGCTCTTAGGTCTGAATTCTTTATTTCCTCTGGGAAGACAATTATCCATACCTGACACCAGCAATTAATTTAGGAAAACAAGGTGCACCTATAGAATCTTAATTACGGGATCACTTCCCTTGTTGTAGCACAATACTTTGTAGACTACTGTAGTGGTTTATTTATTCATGCAAATCTTGCACCATGCAGTGCGGCTTTATAATTATAATCATCATACGATCAGTATTCAAGAAGAGGACATTGTGTGTGTTGTTGCCAAAGAACAGTGACTCAGTGTTAAAAGTCACACAGTACACAGGTAAATAAATCTAAGGTACGAAGTCAACAAAACTCACTGCAAACACACAAAGTAGCACATGCCTCCTTACCAGCAATCATTTAAATGTACATTTAATGTAACAGACATATTTTTACATTTTAACAGTCTATCCATAATTAACTGTCAAAAGTATGTTCTTCGCGTCACAGTTAAGCCACTACAAAGCTAATAGACACTGCTGCTGTAGCATTTAGGTTTTGTCTTGGCAGCAACCCACTGCAGTCAAACTGTTGCATTGCTTCGTGCTCAGACTCCTCGTACCTCATTGGCATTCAGGTTGCATGTGTAAATGTGTGTGTATGTGGGAGCGAAAGGGAGAGTGAGCGTGTGTGTGTGTGTGTGTGTGTGTGTGCGAAACAGCAAGAGATATAAAGAAAGTGAGAATTTAAGGAGAGATTTGATCAATGCTCAACATATTTGCCCTTCATCCTTCAAATCCCCTTGAAATTATGTGTCTTATTTTCTTTTCCTCTCCCGTCCTTTTTTCACTATCTTCCACCCTTCTGTCCCCATGTCCTCATTCTCAGACATATCCTTTAGGGCAAACATGTGCTCGCGTCTCAGTGGGACTCTTGCCCCTAACTTTTGGGCCATGCCTCCCCATGGACAACTTTTCTTACTCTAATCTTTTTGTCTCCTTCAGTTGCTGTGCATAGATGTCCAGACGCGCATTTCCTGTCTAGCAGAGCTACAGGATCTGGACTACATGTCAGATGTCAACTGGGACGCTGTGCTCAGCAAACAGCTTCCTCCAGGCTTTATTCCCAATGTGAGTATCAGAACTATGCTGCTTATATCTGAATGGAACTGAATGTATTTTCCTGACATTGCCCTGCTATATTGTGTTGCAAATCAGATCCAACAAAAACAAAACATATGATGAATATGCTATCTGTGGATGCCAAAGTATATTACTATGACAGTATGATAGCATGACTTTTCTCTTCTTTAACATTTCAGAATAAAAATTCCATCCATCCCTGAAATCCTTCCTCCCTTCTACTGTTCTCCCATACCTATTCCCACAGCAGAAATTCCCTAGAGGCGACAAAGATGCAGGGGAAAAAAACATCCAGCCAGAACTACCCACTCTTCATCTAATCTTTTCTAATCAAGCTGTAGACACCACCCCCTGCTGGGCTGAGCTGGATCTCCCACTGAGTGTGTAGACTGAATAAGACAAAGCAGCACACCTGTGTGCATGCCTCTTAGATACAGACAAAGGCAGACAAAGCCTCTCCATGTATACCTACAGCTCTACAACAAGTTAGGTGAAGTGCCACTGGAAAAAATTATAATAAGCAATAGTTCAAAATGCATGTATTATCACATAACACAAAGAAAAGCAGCAAATAGAGGCTGAAACAAGGGGACATTTTTTGTATTTTTGCTTTAAAAAAGACTTCTTTGTTGATTAACACCAACTTTCTATCCAGGATTGTTTAAGTGAAGCAGCACAGTTACAAGTTCTGTCACTGCTTAGTGCCAGAGATTAATACATGAAGAATAATTACTGCTGCAAGTGAAGAGCTGACTAAATGACTTTATGAAAGTCCATAGCGACTGCAGAGCAGCGGGTATTCCCTGTGGCCAGGCTGGCACAGCAGAGGAAAAACAGAGATGATCGATGGGGAATTGACAGTGTCTCTATCTAATTATAGGCCTATCATCTGTCTTTAGTCCCTTATAGACTCAGGGTGAACTCAGCCCTTATATTCTGTTTCCTAATTTCCCAGCATTGAGTCTGCATTGTCCTGAGCCTCGATCTTTCCTGTAGAGTAAAGGCGTGCATTGCATCATTCTGTACTGTATTGCATCATATGACATTATATTGGTAAGTGATACACAGTTCATAACAGCATGTTAATTTGCTGTTATGAAGTTATGGCAAATGTAGCTTTGAAATAAATATAAGAACGACAAACACAAAAGTCATACCTAGAGATCCTCAAGCTACAACAGAATACACAAGAAAAATGAAATACACACTAGCTTATTGTCCATACTGACTCATTTACAAGTCATCTCAAGTAGAGCGCAAAAACACCGTGACAACGACAGACTGTTACTGATAGTGCTGCCAAAATCAAAACCACGAGAAACTCACAGATTATTACTTTTGTAGTGTAAACTTGGCATTTAGGTTATGTCTCAGAGTTTTACATATTAATACAATTCAATTTTTTAACCTGTGGATCTGTTGGGTTTTAAATTTTTTATGTGCACCTGCATGTGTCTGCTTCTCTATAGAGACGGAGACTAAACTGTGACCCTACATTTGAGCTGGAGGAAATGATCCTGGAGTCCAAACCGCTTCACAAGAAGAAGAAAAGGCTTGCCAGGAAAACCAGGGACCAGGGATCTGATGGCTCCCCACAGGTAATGCTTTGAACTAGAAACTAAACTTGAATAATTACACATCACACAAGAACTGTCTTCAGTGGATCACACATGCCTCTTAAAACGTGTCTCTCCCTGGCTCATTATTCATTAAAGAAAAGTGACCACTTGTTCTGTTTGGCCCAGATACAGGTGATAACTTGCTCCTTAGTTTTTTTCCTTTTAAATGTGTCTAGAGTGCTATTAAGAATGTTGAGGACATATTTCAGAGCTCTGTCCTTCCTCACCTTCATCAGAATAAATGGGCCAGATGCCTGCTGTGAGTGTGGGGAAGCCAAAGAATGCAATCAACTAGTCTTCCACTCGGTCCACATAAATCAGCTGTTGTCCTCAGGGCGTTTATGATAATATGATGAGGAAAGCACTGAAAGGTTAATTTGATCACCCAGTCAAGTGAGACGTGGGAGGAACCCACACATATACACACATTACACACTCCCAGTGATAGTGAAGGCATTTAGGCAGCAATGATTTTATTTTTTGGTCTAGTGCAGCAGACCTTGTTTCAAGACTAACTGTAGCTTAGAAGAACTCCAGTCATTTGTGTTTACTTGCATCTTAACTCCAAATAGGACCGACGGTGTTGAAAGCTCGAATAAAACCATAAAAACATTCTGTGTGACAAGAAAGGCAGAATTGACATCTTCTGCAAGGGCTTCTTCTGGGGGTATAGTGACTTCCCCCAATCTGGCAGTGCAAGGGTGTTTCGAAAAGAAATATTTTAGGGAAGATTTTCTTAAAACTCTCAATTTGATGTGCAAGTTTTTCCATCTGCACATGGAAAACTTTTTTTTTGTGATAGGGATTTTGATAATAAAATGTGCCTTCATTTTCAGATGGAAAATCTATCATTCATCACTGACTACTGACAGATATACTATTCTACTGCTTTTGACAATTCCCACACCACTCTACCACCTAAATCACTTCTCTGCACAAACATTTTCTGAAAAGTTTTCTAATGGGACATGCTGGGAGATGCTTTTGTCACACAGTACTTAATACATTTTCGGTAATATGTAACCCCAGAGATCAAAAAATTTGTACAGCAAGGCGTGTCACTACCTGTCCTGTGTTGATAGTCATTCTCCCCTGATATATAAATGTGTAAGAGATATAAATGGTAAAGTACTTTTCTTTTCTACATATTTCATCACAAAAACATTTTACAACAAGAGAGATTTTAGTAATATGCCTTTAAAACAGGTAGTCAGGTCTGTTTATCAGAAGAAATGCATTTAGAGCACAGGGTTTGCCACACTTCTAGGCTTCTGTCCAATTTTGTCCAGTCTTTCCACTGATACAGTAAAAGCTCAGAGATCAGCAAATTAACACTAACACTAACCATCAGTTAGGTTGTGATTTAATTTGTGTGCTTTTACCAGCAATGGTGCAGGACTGTGTGTTGGGTCTGGTCACTATCCAACAACACTGCACCACACCACTGAAACTTGCTTGTACATACAATATGCACACACACAAAGTCAATACATTTGGAACCTCTCCCATTCTGTCGCACATTAGAACGGTTTATGGGACTCTTTTCTAATAGAAGTAAAGCAATTTGTGTGGTCCAGACCCTAGAGCACATACCTCACCAGCTTGCAATAAGAAGTAGGAGCTGGCCCGAAGTGCGCCATGTTTTATGAAAGCTGACAGCTGCTTGTGGAAACCTGCTTATGTGTATATATCAAGAGATATCTCACTTTGCAGCCAGACAACATTCGTTATCCCTTGGCCCATTCAGACAAAAGCCCCCTATTCTAATGAAATAATGATAGTAGCCTTTCAAGGAAAACATTTATTATGTTTATGGAGTAAGATGAATTAACAGTTTATGATCAGACTAAGGGAAACTAACATTAAGTCAATGAAATGGTTTTGTGCTTTTGTGGCTTGCATTTCCTAATTAAATCACCTTATTCATTACGGTTTCACTTGGGCAATATTTGATCAATGTAGCTCGACCATCATGTTCATGTGAAAATGATTTAAACAAACGACTACAAGTATCTTATATTAAAAGAAAGACTGAGCTTTTATGAGACAAGTGAGGTTTATAAGTGGTAAATATTAATAGCAGTTAAAGATTTACTGATTTACTGAGGTCAAGAATAGAAAATTACATAAAGAAAGTCCTGTTTCACCCCCTCTCTAGAGCACTGCCATTTTGGCACAAAACCTCTAATGTCAGTCCTCCTCTTTAAAGCCTAAAACCTGTCACTTTTTAAGGTGCTTTTGATAAATAAGTTTGTTCGGTTTGTTTTCATGGCAAACCTAGAGAGTGATTCACATTTGCCTTTACATCAACCCATCTTATGTTAACATGCTCTATTCCGTAATTAGCCTTGCATGTAATCTACCGTTGTCTGTATCTTGTTCAGAATGCTGTGGCCATTCTGGCATCTCAATGTTAGCCTTCCGTCCTTCCCATGTTTCCTCTGATCTTGTTGTCTTTTTTGTACCTGCCCACCTCCTGCCCCATTTTTTTTTTAAATGATGTCACATGGGCTATTTTGTTTGTGTGTTTAAATTTACTGTGAACAGTGAATGGCACCAGGTTAATCAGCTAAATACCACACCTTCACCCCTCAGAAGCCTTTTAGTCCAAAAATCCTTTTAATTAATATTACCTCAAATATATACTGTTAAATTCAATCCTGAAACATTTCACCTTTCTTTCTAAATGATTTGTTTAATGTGCATATTATTCTTTTCAGTAGTCATATTTAGCTACATGAGCTGGTCTGTCTGTTGGGAAGATACTCGCTTTACTGACTATAAACATCAGTCTGTGTTTGTGCAATGCTTTGCTATATCCATTTACAAAGGGCCTGTGGGGCCACTTGTGATAGATGCACATAAGAGATACTAAGGTAGAAAGTGAGTGCTGTGTGTGTGTGTGTTTCAGAAAAAGAGAGGGAGACAGTCTGTGCAGCATTTCTTAAGCATAGCAGATCAATATTGAATGAAGTAAGCTAGTTGCCCTAATGCTTGTCCCAGCTAGCTTCTTACTCTTTACCTTGGGTCTGCTCTGTAGTCATTTTGCATATTCCTCCTCTTCTCCCCTCATTTTCCTCTTCTCCTCTCCAACCTTATTTCTCCTCCCTTGTCCTCAGACACCTTCCACAATGCTGCTGCATCTACACGTCGCTCTCACTTCCCCCTCCATACAGTATTGGTCCGCTTGCTCATCTATTTTTCTAGCTCCTCTTTTATCTCTCTGTGTCTTCCCCACTGTTGCTGCTACGCTCATAATGCAGCATAAAATTAGCTCAATTAAATCACAGATAATATACAGCAGAAAATTGGACTTGTGCTGTGAGAACAATATAAATTGAAGACTCCAATCATATGTACACACACACACACACACACTTCTCTCTCCTATTCAGAGATGTCATTCCAGTTGATTGTATACTGAATGTATTATAGAATTCATTTAGATAATGTACTCCAGGGTACATTCAAAAAACAGTACAGATGGACAAAGTGCTGAAGGGGTATTGTGCATATGTTGTATGTTTGTGTGTGTCAGGATAGAATAGAGTGAAATACAGCTTTCTTATTGAAAGCTAAACTCAAAAGAGTGTTGACAATGTAGAGGATTTTGTGACACAGTATTGGTGCTTTTTTAATCTAAAATTTAGTTAGTTAGTAAATTTTATCACTATCACAAATATGTTTAAATAGTAGCCTGTATAGAACTGAATTTCAGACCAGTTTAGAACAGTTATGAGTATGACTACAGTAGAAGTATTACAGGATAGGGGTTGGGTGATGTGGCCAAAATCTTATATTACAGTATATGTCATTTTATATCATGGTAACACAATACAGTAATAAATCATGAAATAATCCAGTCTGATTTGCATAGCCTGTCATCAAAATATAGCCTGCTTTTGTGGTGAAGGACATTGTTAAGGTTCATAGACAAAACAATTGTGGCATTGTACACTGTAGCCTAGTAGCTAGCAACATATTTTATATGTAATCTGATTACTTCAATATCAAATACGCAACTACAAACAAGAAAAGTTATGATGCATTATTTGCTCAGTGTATTTTTAGAGAAACTAAATAATAATAAAATCTTCCCATTGAAGTAATCCCTATGAGTAATCCCTGTTTTTACAAATGTTTTTTCTGTACTGTAACGGAATACAGTTGGTATATTTGTATCCTTATTATGTAACGCTGTTACATGCAATCCGTCACTTCCCAAGCCTGTATATATAATATTATATTTATTACTTGTTCTTACTCACCATTGGTTTAAATCACTTAATCTTTTGAGAGAACTCCATGGTTTAATTTAAGTGTTGCGTAACAAGTTGTCATCAACTCCAGTAACTTAACATTCATTACAACCCTGTCAAAATCCACTAACCAAATTGTCCCTACCTCGTTGCAGACACGTTCACAAGGTCAAGAAGAAGCAGATCAAATCTAAGTGAAAGCAGGGGTTGTTTGAGTGTGAGGGCAGGGTTTTGAGGAAAAGTTACAATATCTGAATGTGAAATCATCAAGTCATGCTCTTACATTGGAATGTGCTGAGAACTTTTCTTCGGTTTTGTTACAGGAGTATTTGTAGTTAAAGTAGATTTTTACACTGAGCAACAGCTGGCTTAGCTGAAACTATTGACATCAGAAATTTCTGGACTATTCAAATTATGGTTTGAGTATTCCTGCTAACCATTTTTTATTATTCCCCATGGGGAGAACAAATTCACACTTTTCACATATGATGAACAGTTCTTCTGAAATCCACAGCACAGGTTTGATGTCTTTGGTTCTGGTAAAATTTAAGAACAATACAGAGTGAGAAAACATAGCATTTTTTTTATACTTTCTAAACTAGTCGATGATCCAAAATTTAACAAATTTATTCTATATTTGTATTGTAATTTAATGCACACTCATAAAAGGTCCATTATTTTGCATATTGTGCTTTTTGTCCACTGTGCTCAAGGTAAGGT